TTTGAATTTGACTAGTCAGACAAGAGACTTAGCTCCTGTTTCTAATAAAGAATGACAACATTTCAAGTCACTGGTTACTGGCTGTTGTCTGAAGATCAAAAACTCGGAAGCACTACTGACCCTAAAACAATAAGAATACCGCTGAACCAAAACAGTCACCCAGCAGCAAAAAAGTGATAATCTTACTATCCCTTGTAAACGTTGTACTTACCTCAATATTGGTTGGCTATCGTATGCCTACAACTACGGGTTGAAAACGAAACGAAGTCGATTTTCCTGCGCAACCTGGAGGACTACTGTTTAATTCAATAATGACACCACATGGGTCAGACAATGAGTGTATTTATATATATATATCAAATACTTAGCTGTTAAAACATTATTAACTTGTAGACAATCTACTATTTGTCATTATATCATACTTGATCGTGCCTGTAAAAATGGCATGCATTTTCATGTAAATTTATGTTTATATGAAAATATAAATTATTATAATTATAAATACGCATGCAGACAAGGGTAGTTATTTTACAGGGAAAATCAAATTTCATTAAAAAGGTGTCCGAAATTCTCAACGGTGACAGAAATTTGCCACATTAGACAGTGAAAAAAAGGCAAAATTCCACAAAGCTAGAGGTTGTTAACTAAAGTCCTTCAAGAACGAAACAAGATTCAGTCATTAGCCCACATATTTATGAAAAGGTTCAGCCGTCAAACTAAGCACTTTCGCGCTTATCTGGCGTACCAGAAGTCCAAAAGAGAAGTCATTCCAGCATCAAATCTTAGCTACATTCGCGTCACGCTTCCGCTCGCAGCACGATGGTCGGTAGAAACTTTTGAACCTGTGAGAAAAGTAATGTTGAAGCAGTCCTTCAATGATACATCTGAATTCGTGGATTCGGTGAGACAAGTAAATTTATTTGTGTTATGTTTGGCTTTGATTGACATAGTTCCCCTCCCCCCCCCGACAGGAGCTGTGTGCTAACTGTGTGAATCTTTCGAGTCAAACAGTCTGAATGTAAGTATACCCACTAAGTCTATCAAAAATTTACACTTATATGCACGTCAAATATCAAGTATTTACGGTCGAAAATACCAATAGAGAGTTGAAGTACCAATGGGTCCTCCACTTGTTCCATTGCCCACTAACTGCTGCATGGCATACCTTGATTCTAGTGTCCTCCAGTCAACTATCAGCCGTTCTGAAGTTTACAAGCAGTACATGAACGATGTCTTTACCGCCATCGATGAAAACACTGAAGTAAACAAAATTCCAGCAACATTTAACAACGCTTGCTGTTTGGCTGAATTTGAAATTCGAGAAGAACCAAAAGGGAAATCATCCTTCCTAGATGCCTAGCTTTTGCGATGAATAAATGGAAGTCCATAAGGATCAGTCTGTAGTGAGTCTGAATGGAGTGGACTATTGACAAAATTTAAAAGTTCTGCCCCAACGATCAGAAAGGATATCTTATCGAGTCTCATGAGACGAAAATCTACCTCATATGCTCAGAAGATGCATTCTGCAAGAAATTGGAATCTTTCGGGAGAACTTCAGTAAAAACGGATATCTAACCCCCTTTCTCGACAAACACCTAAAGAAAATGGCTTCTACTCTGCCGAACCGGGGTGTATTGAAGGAACGACTCATTTTATATTTCGTATTCGGGGCGCCTATCAAAAGGGATTCAAATGAAGTTCTTTGTTGCATTTCTAAGCCCACCTTCCCCAAGCAAGCTCTTATTCACCAAAACGTCAAAAGCAAGATCTGGCTGTTAGAGACTTCATTGTCAATTTATGAATTTACTTGCTTCTCTACTGTCAAGTACACAGGCCATTGCAGCAGTAGATTGCCCAGACGCGCCCTTAAACACCTCTCGGAATGGATGCTTAAAGGAGTTTAATCGCCGATACTTCTATCGGAGTAATTATTCAATTACCGACCGAAAGCTCGTAGTAATGCAAAAGATTAACCGCGCTTTTTAAAACTGTTTTCAAAAGCACTCTTTTGCTTGAGTTGAGCGGAAACGTAGTCAGACACACGTTAGGGCAATCATCATTCAGTATTTTAAGAAAGCCCAAAAAATCTTAAGAAACATAAAGTTCCTACCTGTCTACTAGTCTACTGACCATATCACAGCATATTGTGTTGTATCTGTTCTACAGGAGAGTTCAGAAGAATCATAATCTCGATTCTGGAGAACGCTGTTACTTTTGGTCGCGTAGCATCAGCAGAGACTTCGTAGGATGAAGCCACTCAAAACGATACTGCCTATATCATCATCATGCAGAGGTAGATTTAGTAATCCATAATGTAAAAGCTAAATGTCGCGTCCAGAAACTTCCCACCCGGCCAGTTTTACTGCAGTGACCTTAATGCTAATTTTTTACTGAGTAAATGTATAATAAACTCCATTTGGTCCTTTTTTTGCAGCTTCCTATATTGTTTTTGGTTTTAGTTTGTTGACCTATTATCGGTCATTATTTCCCTTGCTTCTCGACATTTATTTCCAAGTAATTAATGATCAATCCTCCGAAATATCCAGGACTACTCCTTCATTTTACAGCATTGTTATTACTCATAGAGCTTCATTTCTTCTGTTAATAACTGACAAATACATAACCATGGTCGTTAACTAACGGCCACGTTCAAAGTTCTGTCAAATCGTCTAACCCGACCATTTTGTTGTTCAGAGCATCGCTAAAAGGACAATAATAAACCATCGTGACTGCTTCGATAATCACAGCTTCATTCTCAATTTTATACTCGGATGATGTAATGCCATCCATAGCCATGAAAAATCGAAGGTCAGACCGAGCTGCAGAAAAAGCTGAGCGAATTAAGAGAATAGACTGCCGGAAATGGGTTACGTTTCAACACTGACTAGTGTCGAGTTATTTTTATCCGTAAACCGGAAAAAAGCGTATCGATACCACTTATGTTGGACCTATTTATCCCGAGAAAGGCTGTCTCAGGCTACTCCTGATATATGGATAAGATACATGTGCCAAATGCGTTGGAGACTTGAAAAGCATTGGGGACAAAACATCTGAGATTTTCAGATGGCGTAAAGTTTGGTGGCGATATATATTCCTCACCACATAGGGGAGTCCGTGAGCTCTAAGAACTTTTCTTTCGACACTCACACTCTATAAAGGTATAGACACCAGTGAAAAGTGCACCATGATCATTCCATTGAGTAAGAAACTTATCAGGATCCTTCGGCAGGAAAGAGAATTTAAGGAAATACAATAGTGACTCATCAAATGACTCCATGTTCCTAAAGCACTGGAAAGGTAGCGTCAGGTGCTGCTCAACTAACTTTTGAGAGCTAAGCGTGAAATTGAATGAGTTAATGTGTGAAGAAACGCATTTAGAAGACGTGATTAGTGAGCCATGAATTCCCTTGTTCTAAAAAGCGAAGCATCTTTTCAAATGGCTAGTTTCTAAAGCAAACTAGACACCCAAAAGTATTCAGTGATATCTAACTACCGGCCTGTAGGTCTGACGTGCACGATAGGAAAGGTATTGGAAACAATTGCAAGAGATAAACTGTTAGCTCATGTGGAAAAACATAGCTTGCTGGCGGTGTAAGAGTATGGATTCCAACCAGGACGATCCTGCCTGACAAACCTATCACTGGCTAGGGAAACTGGGTTGAGGCCATAGATAAAAACCTTCTGTTAGACGTGGTTTTTATCGATCTTAGGCATTCGATAATGCATCCCACTTTGGTCTCCTTAGTAAAGTAAAAGGTTTCGGACTAGACTAATACCTATGTGATGTGGTTTAGGGATTGCCTAGTGGATAGAAGGCAGAAGGTTAGAGTTAACGGTGTACTATTAGGGTGGAAAGTAGTGTCCAGTGGAGTGCCTCAGGGAACTACCTTGCTATTCCTACTATACATTAATGAACTACCGGGGATTCCTACTTCATCTTCATTATTATTTGCGGACGACAGTAAGATCTGGAAAACTGTAAATAATAACGAGGATAGGTTGGCCCCACAAAGTCATCTAGATGAATCAGCTGAGTGGTCGAACCTGTGGAGTTTGGAAATTAATTCTAGGAAAAGCGTGGTAATGCACTTAGATCAGAAGTCGTATACTTCATACTCCCTAGGGGACACACAACTACCTGATGTTAATGGACAGAAGGAACTAGGAACCATTGTCAACAATGATTTGAAAACAACTGCGAATTGCAATGCAGCCGCAGCTAAGGCTTTTCAAATGCTATGGCCACTCCAAAGAGCTTTCAAACGATTATATGAGTTTATGTTCCAAGTACTCTACACAACATATGTCAGGTGTCATCTAGAGCACTGCATACAAGGCGCTAGTCCATTCTTCAAAAAGGAGGAATATATCTTAGAAAGAGTAAAAAGGGTGGGAACTAAATTAGTTAGTGGTATCTCACTCCTTATGACAAAAGGATGGAGCATTTAAATCTCTTCCTGTTATCATACCGAAGGAAGAGAGGCGACTTAATTTTAGCATACCGTATACTTAAGGGTGATTTAGGAACGGAACTTTCTAACCTTCTCTTCCCTTCTAGGATTCATTTACGGGGTCACCACAAAAAGTTGCTCAAACCAAGGACGAACAAAATACGTGTGGAATTTAGATTCTCTCACAAAGTGGTCAACAACTAGAACTCCTTACCTGATTCAGTGGCATCAGGTCCATCCGTGAACGCTTTCAAAGAGAAGTTAGATATCTGCAGAGATATATTCTGCAAGGATTAGCACAGGCCAAAAGAGCCTACTATCCTCATCATATGAATCTGAGTCTGAAGCCCTAAATGACATCAGCAGTATAATGTGAACGGAAAAAAATGAATAATCCTTCGATTCTAGACACTGACTATAAAATCGCTAGTTTTTCCTCACAAAGAGCTTTCTTGCAGTTACCAGTACGTGGCCTAAGTGATTTAGTCTGTCACTTCTACTGGAAAAGGCTTTTCGCCTGAACTTACAAATGTTGTTTTATTCAGTCAGCTTCGAAGGACATACAACACGCAAAATATTAATCTAAATGGAAGATGGGTTGTTTTGTAAGTTTCTGACAACTTGTCATGCATTTTCTGCACTTCAGATGACTCGAAACAAAATATGGAAAGAATCAGTGAGGTTGAACGGCTTTTCGGGTTCCCATCCAATGTACACTTGGTTTGCATAAAGAGACTAATTTCTAGAAACTAGTAACTACAAATCGTGTATTGGTAGGAGAGGGTGTTCTTACTAAGATATGCAGGAGGAAGCCCAAACTCAGACACTTTTTCTTGTTTAATGATGTTCTGATTTATGGAAGAATTGTGGTGAACAGAAAAGTCGTAAGTTTTCGGAGTTGAATTAATCTTCAATCTTATAGCTTCGTAATCCTCAATTTATTGACCTTGCGGATGTCTCTGTAAAGAACGTTTTGGATAACGGCAGTAGGTCAAGTTTATTCCTAATTAACTTCAGTCTACCGAAACGGATTTTCAATCCTTAGTCCTAGAAAGTCTTTCACTGTTTACGCAAGTACATCTGAAGAAAAAGCTCAGTGGGTAGTTCATTTGAAGAAGTGCATTTCGAATTCCATCCATTCCAGTTAGTTTATTTTTTTGTGTTCATCTTCTAATGGCTTTGTTAACTAAATATTGAATATCGTTTTTACGAGCTAGTATAAACCAATTTGATTTCTTTGTGCTCGCCTCTTAATTGTGAGGTATAGGTTCCCGATCTCCGGTAAACTTCTGCGTAGCTCGTCCTGCCATTCGACTGTCGTAGCTTTGGTTGACTCCAAGCGGAGTAGTGGTTTGTAGTATGAGATCTCTCTATTGTTCCCCCTTAGTTTTTCCCGGGCTGCTGAAGAAAGACTATAACATATTACGCAGGATGTTAAATGTTGTCAGCAGGGTAAGCAACGTGCCACTTAACCAGCTTGTTAATATTCTGGTTGACAGGCACATGGACTCATGTGAAAAATGGGCCAAATCCATTTTATCTAACTCACACCATCCTCTTCACTCACAACTCTCCCCTTGCATCTCATCAGGTAAAACCAGAAGCCAATATAGAAAACTATATGCTCGCACCAGTAAGTACAAAAACTCAACCATACCCTACTTAGCTCGTGTTCTGTGTGATAAAGAAAGCATTAGGCGTGACACTTATTATTTATTAAATAGTCAGTAGTACAACTGGATCTCGTCTTTCCAACCCACATCATCAGTAGGTACAACATTTTCTTTCTTTCTTTTCCTTTTCTCTCTTCTTTTTCCGTTATGTGCTGCTTTGTTTCTTTCTCTCGCTTACGCCAGTTAATAAGACAGCTCCCACTTTTCTAACACCTTCAAACACTGTTCAACTTTGGCTTTGCTACCGACATGCCAATATGTTGTTGTCATAATGAACTGAGATTTCCTTAATCTATGTAGAATTCTATTTATTGATAATGTACTAACTGGATGCAATACTGTAGTAAAAATGCTGAGAATTCCATTCTGTATTACAAGTACTGTTTTGGAATAAAGCAAATTATTATTATTATTATCTGTTAAGACTGTTACTACAGTGAATGGAGTTGACCCTTTCATCAGTTAGTCCTCCGGCATCGTCGCCAAAAGAAAAGGGATAATAATAGATATAATTGCTGAAGTTTTTCAGACTAAAAGACAGAAAAAGAAATAAAGAAAACGTAAAACAGACAGCTGATTAAATTTGAAGTGGATATATACATATTACCGATATATATATATATATATATATATATATATATATATATATATATATATATATAGGTAATCATAATAATAACTGTAGTTAACGTTTTCAGGAGAGTAAGATGGGAGGGAATGTGAAGAAGTAAGACGAACTTAGTTGTCTACCCCCGATTGGTGTATGAGATTTTAAGGGGATAGACCATTTGGACGCAGTCATTGTGTCACTGCATGATTGTCCAGCCTTCGCTTAAAGGCGTCCACAGACGGTGCCATAGCTACATCTGGCGGTTAGGAGTTCCAGGGACGGAAAACCCGCAGTGAGAAGAAGTGGGAGCGCACCCGGGTCCTTGCTTTCTGATCAGCTATCCTTCTGGTATTTCAACGAGGAAGCTTATACGTACTTAATGGTAGAACACCCTTATTTCGGTGATTCTGGTCACTTATAATCTCTCAGGCAGTAATCAAGTCCCCCTAAGCCGACGGGACCTAGGTGTGAACAGATCTAATTTCTTTAGGCGTTCATCACACCGTTTGTTTCAGTAACCCTTCAGACCTTTTGTCGCCCTTCTGTGGACTCTTTCTAAAAGGTGCACGTCTCTTCTAAGTCTTGGGGTTGCAATGATATTGTGCACTTCAAGTTGTGTTCTGACGTACGTTTTGTACAACCTCAAAAAGAGCCCAAGAGTGAGTGCACCTAAATGTCTATGTGTAAAGTGCACTACCACATTGACTCTTGTGTCCACAATTTCGGCTAGAACTAGACCCAAATCACGCTCCAGCGTTATGCAAGACAAGCTTGTACCTATTCAATGGCAAAACACTTTTGTTTGGGTGATTTTGGTCATTTTTTATGTTGTACGCAGTAATCAAATCTCCCCTAAGCTGATGGTAGTTAAGTTAATGCAGTGCTATTAAGTCCTGTATTTATGGTGATGCAAGTAAAAGATCAACCTTCTGTGCTTTCTGCACCAAATTTTAGCAACTTAACTTGGTTGGAAAACTGTTAATATCAGCAACGATGTTTACTGCACTTCAGTTTTAGTAGTTACGCAGATGTCCCATAAGATTAGTTTATTCAGGTTGTAGGCTTTATGTTAGGTTTTGTGTTTGTGCTTGTTTCCCATTAGAATCTACCATAAAGTACTACCAAACAACATCTAGTGTATTGCATTTTAGCAGGTACTTTTCTAGTTAAATATTAATAAATATTATTTAGTAAACTGCTATATATTTTTCTTCACTAATTTCTTTCTTTTGTTGTTGTAAAGCTAAGCAGTCTGATTCAATCAAAAAATCACCGATTTGGATTCCAGATTCAGAAGCTTCACATTGTATGGTATGTGGGACTACTGAATTCAACTTGGTTCATCGTCGGGTAAGTTGTTCAATACTTTCAAGATAATTTAATTCCCTGTGTTTTTTTTTGATTGAGTTTGTCACAGTGCATTGATCAGAAAATGTAGCTGTCATCTTTCCATGCCAATTAGACTTAGTTTATGTGATGACCGGTATTATGCGAACTAGAGTGCTTATTCCCTAGGGTCCCGCTATATTACTTTCATAAGGGACTGATTCCCATCAACTCTTAGTTCAAAGACCTGGAGCGAAATATGCTAATGCGTTGACTGAGACTCTTGGAATGATGTGTCACGAGGAATATTTGTATTCTGTTTTTGTTGAAAGCGTATCAGATAATGTCACAAAGTATTACTTAGCGTCTCAACAAACATTTATTTGATTTCAGTCATATCAAGGTGGAATCATTCATGTCTTTGAAACTTGAGTTTTTTCCCCTAACCGTCTTTTGTTTTATCACTCGAGTAGTATGATATTGTAAATAATATTCGGAATGAAATTTTAATCATGTCTATTGTAAGTGTTCGATGTTGATTGAGTGAGGGAAGTTTCTGTTATCAGTCTTCTTTCTTTGAACATTCACCTTATCTCATCGTGTTGTCTAATTTGTATAACTGCATATATTGCTACTGTTGAGTTTTCCTGTAGACTTTGTTTTTGTCATTTTAGGGTCTACTATTTGTAGGTTTTGCTGGGTTTATGGGTGTTCTGACAATTGAATCGACCTAAACTTGGTTGCTTAAACCTATTATATTTGGCCCTTGCATTCATTGCAATGGACTCGAAAGATCAAACTATTCTTTCGGTTGGAATCAATAAGAGCTAATTGACTCGGTCGGTCGGTTGTTTTCCGACATAGAACTCTGCACATATGTGTGGCAGTTCAAGTCGCCACACTCCATGTAGCACACAAAGCAAGAGAAGAAAGTAGGAGAAATGCATAATATAGACTCTAAACAGAGGTTTGAGACAAAGGAATAGTAATAACGAAGAACAATATAGTTTCATTGAAAATCATAAGTCACAAGGAGTGGATGCATCTGCGCCAGTCATTGAGAACGATTTTCAGCCACATCACCAATTGTCTCCAACCATTGGTTTTTACTGTCCCGAGGACCCCAACCAGGAAGTCTACACCTTCCTACATGGCCTAGACTAACTGTTGTGGATTTCATTGACTGGTGCCATGTTTTCGTTTGACCGCCGCTAGCTCTTTTCCAGCCTGGCCCTATATCAGCTAACATTGCCCGTCGAGGAAGGCGATGACTAGGCATGCGTAACACATATCCTAACCATCTCAGTCGATGTAATTTCAGTCTCGTCGACTGATTTCCCCTCCTTACCTAGCACTCGACGCCTAACCTCAATATTGCTCACCTTATTATGCCACTTCACGCAGGAGATAGAACGCAGACACCTATGGTCGAAGACAGTTAATCTTTTCATATCTTCCGCTCTCAATGGCCACGTCTCACAGCCATAGGGGAGAATGGAGCGGACTGATGAGCAGTACACACACCCTTTGGTCGATAGTCGGATATCACGTCTACGCCAGAGACGGCGTAAACTAATTGACTGAGTTTGTAGGCTTACGTATAAGTTCTGCCGGCAAGTTCGTTTAACTTTTTATGAGTACCCTTTGTCATACGGTATTTTTAGGAATATTTTAAATTGTTTGCTTGGAACCGCTATCGTTATTTATATTATTCGTGCCTATAACGTTAATTGATTTCCTTAGTTCGCCTACAGTTTCCACGAGTTTGTAAATAGAGATACTGGATTATTGACTTAGCGATGTATTTTTTTCAATTTGTGGCGTTTCCAGTTACTAGTCTATTTTGTGTCATTGTTCCGTAGGCAATTTAATGAATCTATTTTAGCAGACATAATATGAGATGACTTGAAGTCTTAATACTTACTTGGATAAGGTCGGTTTTTGTAACTTGCAACTCTACAGTAGCTAGTCCTCCTGTGTTAGTCACTTATTCATTTATCACTTAATATATACGCAGGGGAATCATTAATATTCATTATTTATTTCACACATTAGCATAATCATTGATTTCACGCATCTGCGTGATTATTGATTTAAATTACTGAATCCCCAAGGTCGTTAATATTTTTAAAAGGTGACATTGATTTTTCTAATTGTATAAATACGGACTGTTGTTTGAGTCAGTAAAAGCTCTCATATCAACGTCCAGTCTTCTCTTTTATTTGTCTTGCGTGCCCGGCGGTATTATTGTTGTTGCTGTTGACGTGCGATTAAGACAGATTAGCCAGCGCATTAGTTAGATTCGCTCGTAGTCTACAAGGTCCTCATATTCACATACATAACAAATTTGGCGACGGGTTTGCTGAAGATGGACCCACTGCGTTTAGAGAAACTAATGGAACAGCAGCTAAAATTGATGGAAATGCTTGCTGGTCTACAAATATCACGCTCTGCTGATTCATCTACAGCCAACGACAGCATTGGTAGCAGCATCTCAGAATTTGTTTATGATCCAGATGCGAACGTCACTTTTGACACTTGGTTTCGCAGATATGAAGACCTATTTCTAGTAGACTTTGCGGATAAAGACGATGCCTGGAAAGTACGGCTTCTACTTCGTAAATTGGGAGCAGATGAGCTAGATAAATACTGCAACTTAATTCTGCCACAGAAGCCCAGTGAAAGATCATTCGACGAAACTGTCCATACCCTTCGTCATCAGTTTGGTGATCAGAGATCGTTATTCAACATTCGATATCATTGCATGAAACTAGTTTTGAACGAAAATGATGATATCCATACTCAGTTGGGTATAGTCAATCGCACGTGTGAACGTTTTAAATTGAAATCACTCTCAGAAGACCAGTTCAAGGTACTGATTTTCATTTGTGGTTTGCAGTCTCCCAAATTTGCTGATATACGCACACGTCTATTAAATCGTCTGGAACAAGATCCACGAATGACTTTGAAAGACGTCGGTGAAGAATATCAGCGTTTAATCAACATTCATAACGATACCACCTTGGTGCAGTCTGGTAGCCAAAATGCAGCAGAAGTGCATGCGGTGCATCCAGTACCGTCGACATCAACCGCACCGCGTCATCCTCAGCATAAACCACCATCAGCCTGCTGGCACTGTGGTTCCTGGCATTTTGCAAAATTGTGCCCATTCAAACAGCATAAATGCCGTCGATGCCATACTGTTGGTCACAAAGATGGCTACTGCAAACGCAACAACCGACCCAGATCTCGTAGTCGACCCAAACGGCGCAACAAGCCTAAGTCTTTGGGTGTTACTGCCACATGTCATATTAGTACTCCAGCACCTCGCAAATATATCGACCTGACGATTAATACACGGCCGGCACGCCTACAAATCGACACAGCATCCGATATTACAATAATATCAAAGAAATTGTGGCAGAAGTTGGGATGCCCTGCCATAGAGAAGACAAATCAGATAGCAATTAGTGCATGTGGTGGAAGACTTCGATTGAATGGAGAAATTAAATGCAGCGTTGGTTTTCGCGATAGTCATTTCATCGGCACATGCTATATCAATAATTCAAACCTTGACCTCTTGGGTTTAGACTGGTTCGAGAAGCTGCATCTGTCAGAGATTCCGTTAAGCAGTGTATGCCAGAAGATTGAAAGTATTGAGCCCTCAACAAGAAAACCAGAAATCAGAGACAGATATATTAAACCTAAGCCCATTAGAAAGAATGACGTGATTAATGAAAAACCAACTTCGAATCGCCACAGTGAGTATGGCTGCGCCAAAAGTGCTTCGATGTCTGGTAGCAACAAAGTAGCAACTGTTAGCTCCAGTAAGAGAGGCTCTGCTCAAAAACTGAAAGTGATGTCTGTCATGGCAGCCAAAGATCCGCCGCGGGAGCCACCGAGAGCATGGCACACGTCAAAACCATGGTCCCGCCTATATGTGGATTTTGCTGGGCCGATAGAAGGTATATACTACTTGGTTCTCGTGGACTCTTACTCAAAATGGCCGGAGGTAGTAAAAGTGACACCACCTTCTAGCAGCAGAACAGTATCAGTTCTGGAAAAGATCTTCGCATGTCACGGTATACCAGAAATCATCGTATCTGACAATGGCAGTCAGTTCACCTCACAAGTGTTCCAGGAATTTTGCAAGAGAAACGGTATACAACACGTGCGGACGCCACCTTATCACCCTCAATCCAACGGTCAGGCAGAAAGATTTGTCGACACCTTCAAACGAGCGTTGTTGAAAGCAGGGGGAGGGGCGAAACCGGAAGCAATACAAAACTTTCTTTTTGTATACCGAACTACACCACTGGCAGAACAGAAGAAAAGCCCTGCAGAACTTCTAATGGGTCGAATGCTACGAACTCATCACCACTCCATGTTACCATCTTCGTCACATCAACGAAGAAATAGTGTGACGTATTACCGCAAGGGTGATGCCGTCTATGTGCGCGATTATCGACCGAGGAACAGAAAATGGGCTGAAGGCTTGATAGAATGTCGACATGGAACTGTAATGTACAAGGTTAAAGTTGGGGATGAATGGTGGATTAGACATAAAAATCAGATACGACGTCGATATACTACATCCCAAGAACCTAAATTGCCACTGGAATTACTACTGGGAACTTTCAAAATACCACCAGTCAAACCAGAAGCAAAACAAGAGATGCTACCCAGCCGACGATCCCAGCGCAAACGAACACAAACAGTTCCTTTCCAAATCGACCCCAAGGAAAAAAGATACTAAACTGATTGCAAGATTCTTTTTAAAAGGGGGAGGTAATATATACGCAGGGGAATCATTAATATTCATTATTTATTTCACACATTAGCATAATCATTGATTTCACGCATCTGCGTGATTATTGATTTAAATTACTGAATCCCCAAGGTCGTTAATATTTTTAAAAGGTGACATTGATTTTTCTAATTGTATAAATACGGACTGTTGTTTGAGTCAGTAAAAGCTCTCATATCAACGTCCAGTCTTCTCTTTTATTTGTCTTGCGTGCCCG